GGTGCCCCCAACGTGGGTAGACCAGCTGGCTCCCCCGCCGTGGTGGCCTGGCATGGCTCATATCCGGAAGGAAGCGCTTACAGAGCCAGTGGGGCCTCGGGCTCCCTAAAAGGAGGAGGAGAGCAGTCGGTGAGATGGTCACCATTCACTTCAAGGCGCAGGGAGGTCTCATTTTGGCTCGGGGACACCTGGGGCCGCCCATAGGTCGCCAGGGGGGCGTGGGAAGAAATTGTGAATTTGCACCCTGGAGTTGTGCAGCCTGACCCCTTGGGAGTGTGCCCCTCTTGAAATGGCAGAACCGGGGCTCTGTGACCTTTCCCTGTCCCTCCTGTCCCTCCTGTGTCCCCGACAAGCCGCAGGGACTTAAGTTATCCTGCTCCGAGGACCCGCCGTTGTGGTAAATGCCAGAGCGATGGCCGTTTGAACTTCCCTGGGCTGTGCGCTTCCTCCCGGAGCTAGGACCCATGTGCTTTCTGCTTCCGTAAACCCAGTCCGCCGTGCTCACTGGCCATAGGCCAACGTGTTAATGTAACACTCCTTCTCTCTCAAGAGAGAGAGAGGCTGGTCAGGCTGGGAAGGCAGCCCAGATCCTGAGGCTGTTGGTGTTGGGAGGGGCCTTGGCCATCCTCCCCGAGTTCTAGGACCGGCATAGTCACGTCTTTTTTTAAAAGAAATAATTTTATTTATTTCAGAGAGAAAGGGAGAGGGAGGGAGAGAGAGAGAAACATCAATGATGAGAGAGAATCATCGATCGCTGCCCCCTGCACGCCACCCACTGGGGATCGAGCCCGCAACCAAGGCATATGCCCTGACCAGGAGGAATCGAACCGGGACCTCCTGGTTCCTAGGTCGACGCTCAACCACTGAGCCATACCGGCCGGGCTCTCCCCAACTTCTCAGCTCTGTCCACGTCAGTGGGCCTTTATTCCATTCTCTTGCCCCCAGAGGTGGCCCGATGTGGACATTCCTACCCTTGCTTATCACATGCTGGGATAAGCATTCATTAAGCCTGGCACCGGGGATATACATCTGGTAACTACTTTTCCCTTCTCGAAACCAGAGCGCTTGCCAATCTCCGGCTTCGGTGGGACCCTTTGCTCAGAGCCCGCGGAGCGTGTGTTTGTGATCACGTCCCCGAGGTCCTTGAGTCCCGGGCCACACTTGATCTGACCTCGTTTGGGGACCCGGACGTAGTCGAGGTCGCCAGGGGTCCTCATTCTATCTTGCTGCCTGGCTCTGGCTTCGATTTCTCCTCGGTGATGCTACCACTGCCCTTCCCGACCCGAAGATCACTTTCTCTCGTGGAGGTGAGGGCTGAACATCTGAGCTCTGTAATCCTGCCTCGCCTTCTCTCTTACCTGCTGCCACGGTTGCCCCAACCAACTGGCGGGCCCGGGGCCTGACGCTCTGGCCCAGGTTTTTTTGTTTGTTCGAAGCACACCTTTCTGCTGACCTTGGTGTATTTATAGAAAGGTGTAATCATACTGGCCTTTAGTCCTCCTGACACTTAAAAAAAAATTTTTTTTAAATATATATTTTTATTGTTTTTAGATAGAGAGGAAGGTAGGGGGAGAGAGAGATAGAAACATCAATGATGAGAGAGTCGCGCTGATCAGCTGCCTCCTGCACGCCCCCCACTGGGGATCGAACCCACAACCTGGGCAGGTGCCCTTGACTGGAATGGAAGCCAGGACCCTTCAGTCCACGGGCCAACGCTCAACCATGGAGCCACGCCAGCGAGGGCCAGCTCCTTCTCCTTTCAAAGACTGTCCAGGAATATTCCCCAGTGTTCTCAGAACACAGCGATGACTTCAGGTGCCCGAAGAACTCGGAGGAGAAACAAAAACGTATTGAGACGCTGTCGCCACTTGTCACAAGCTGCGATGGGCCTTTGAAAATCCATGCCAGGGATTCTACTGTGTCCTGAGAACAGTCCTTCAAGGGGTGGGGCCTGTGCCCATTGTATAGATGAGCAAACCGAGGCACGGACAGGCGTTGTAATTTGCTCAGGATCGCCCAGACGGGATGGACAGAATCAAGACCCAGCCCTCCTTTGTGTGACCAGACCCCGGCCCTGAATTTCGAGCTGGTCATCCTCCTAGGTGTCGGGTGAGATTAGTCATCTGCACAGTAACTCGGGGCGTATCTGCGAACACCCCACGCTCTAGGGGGACTTCGGTGTCAGCTCAGGCAGGCAGGATGGAAGGAGATGGTGAGAGCTGACATGTAACACCTTGGCTTGGTCTCACCTGATAACGGCTGCTAACAGCGAGGGCTGGCCAGCCCGGGCTCAGAGGGGAGGGAGGGGACGGGAAGAACGGTGTTTCCGTCCACCCCCCTTGGGCCAGGAAGCGGGGTGAGCGGCTGGGGGAGGGGGTCTCCAGTCTGCTGGCAGGGCTGGGGGCTCCAATTGTGGAGACGTTTGATGTCAGCATGTCAGCAGCTATGAGCTGGGGGATGTGCTGAGGGAAGGCGCTATGGACGGGCTCAGAGCACGGGCTCTCTAGGCCCTAGAGCAGCCGTGGGCAAACTTTGTGACTCGAGGGCCACCGTGGGTTCTTAAACTGGACCGGAGGGCCGGAACAAAAGCATGGATGGAGTGTGTGTGTGTGTGAACTAATATAAATTCAAAGTAAACATCATTACACAAAAGGGTACGGTCTTTTTGTTTTTTTAGTTTTATTCATTTCAAACAGGCTGGATCCGGCCCGTGGGCTGTAGTTTGCCCACGGCTGCCCTAGAGTCTCGGGAACCCCCCCCCCCCGCCTTGGCTGCGAAAACCGAGGGGCCGGTCTCTGCTGTGAAAACGAGGGCAGACGCGTCAGTTGCTGGGTTGTTTTGAAAGAACAGCTCCGGAGAGGGCTGCTTCTGGCTCATCCATATTTCATGAGGCAGCAGCTAAAACATTCATGAGCGGCACCCGCCGTGGCGAGCAGCTCTGGGCTGCCTCCTGCACCTCCTGGGGGCGCTCAGACGGTCAGATTTTTGCGTCGCTCTTTCCATGGACAGAGAAAGACAGTCATGTGTGAGCGGGAATCGCGCCGTGGAGGGGGCTGGCAGGGGTCTCGGAGCGATCCCTTTCCGTGGCGTGGGCATCTGCTGCCAGACTCCTCCGTGGAGGAAGGGCCCCAGGCGGGGCAAGGAGAGGGAGCAGGCATCGGGCGGAGAGCTGGTCAGGGATTGGTCAACAGGGGCATGGGTTGCGGGTCATGTGACATGGCGCTGGACACTGTGTGTATGTTATGTGTATGCACGACACACACATACATGTGCGTGGTGTGTGTATATGTGTGGAATATGCACACACACGTGTGGCGTTTGTACATACACGTGGCATGCACATGGGCACGTGCACATGTACACGTGTGATATGTATACATGCACATGCACATACATGTGTGACACATACACACGTGACGTGCATGTGTGCATGTGTATATGTATACATAAGAGTGCCGTGCACACACGTGTGATATATGTGTTAATACATGTGCATATGCGTGCATGCATGCGTATGCGTGTGGTATTTGTATGTGTGCACATGGTGTGTGTGTGTGTGTGTGTGTGTGTGTGTGTGTGTGTAGATCCCTGTTGGCCCCGGGAGCCTCCTCAGTACAGAAACTGCGAGTCTCAGCCGAGTCTGTGCTGGCTCCCCTTGGCCTTGAACTCTGGGCCATGTCCCGGGGCCTTTGTTCAGGATGAGACTCTCGTCTTAACTCCTGCATGGAAAACAAACAGCGTGAACGGTGACTGTGCCAGGCGCGGGGCAGCGCAGTGACAGACATCCTGTCCCCTGGCCTCCCGCAGCGCCACGTGGTGGGTCCCACTCCACAGATGACAGCGCAGGCGGCAGAGAGGGGCCCCCCACCAGCGTGCCCTCCACGCGGCAGAGCCACGTGTGAAACGCAGGCCTTCTGTGTCCGGAGCCCCTGCCCCTTCCTGCTGCAAAGCACAGGCCACACATCATGTGTGCACATGTGCGAGGGTGTGTGTGTGTGTGTGTGTGTGTGCGCGCGTGCGCATGTTTTTAATGTAAACTTCCGTTCGGAGCGCCCTGGCTGTGCCCTGTGAGCCAGGCGGTGAGGTGCCCGCGTCTGCTCTCCTGCTTTTGTGAAGCATCAGCCGTTTCTATTGTTCCTATTCCTGTTGCCTCGCTGGGCGGGGAGCACAGCCCTGGTTTGGGGAGCACGGCCGGCAGGGCCTTTGCCATCCAGGGTGAGATGAGCCGAGGGGCGCACCCCGTGTCGCAGCCCGCTGTCCACGGTCGGCCGGCACGCGGGGACGCGGGCTGCTCAGACAATGGAAACTTCCCTGCTGTTCCCTGAGTTGCTGGAGTCAGCGATTGGACCGCATTTGGCCGATTCGCTGGCGGCCGCTGCAAGGCACCTGCTTTCTGGGCCGACTCCGGCAGGAAAGTGCTGATGCGCCTAAAAGACCAGCAGGCGGGGTGCTGGCGGCCTGGGGAGCTGCCAAGGTGGAGGCTCCGCATGCCAGCCGGCGTGTTGGCCTCACCCGCAGCGGGGCCAGCTGCTCTGCCGGACGGAAGTGTGGTCACCTTCCCGGATCATCAGAATCTTCGTCCGGGGCGACCCCTGAGTCCCGAGCCCGCATCTCAGATGCACCCAGAGCTGACCTCAAACCCAGGGGTGTCCTCCAGCCCAGTTCCCACGGATCCTGTGGGATCTGAGGTTGATTTATTTCTTTTTAAGTATATTTGTATTGATTTCAGAGAGGAAAGGAGAGGGAGAGAGAGAATCATGGATTGGCTGCCTCCTGCACACCCCCCACTGGGGATGGAGCCCACAACCCGGGCATGGTTCCTGACAGGGAATCGAACCCTGACCTCCTGGTTCGTAGGTCGACGCTCATCACTGAGCCACGCCGGCCGGGCGAGATCTGTGGTTTCACGTGCTGTTTCCTCTCTTCCCAGGCAGCCAGGATTGCTTGCCACCTGCGGCGTCTTTTCAGAGACGGCGGCGGCTGGCACGGAAACCGGCTACATGAGACGCGAGGCTGGGCCCCTGATCAGGTTGCTCTCCGCTGCCGGGGGCGCCTCGTCCCGGGCCCAGGGCGGGGCGTGCGGTGAGGAGCCCCGTCAGTCGGAGTCCAGGCCCAGACAGCGTGGCCTTGACCCCGGAGGCCCGTGGCGAGTCCCCGAGGTTGGGAGCCCACTTCCCAGGAGCGCAGCAGCCCCGACTCTCGCCCCTGGGGGCCCCCGAGGCCCAGTGCAGACCCCGGCGAGAGGGGCCCCAGGCTTCTCCGGGATTCAGTTCAGAGCTGGCACTGGATTGCCCACCAGGCTGCCCAGGGGGTGTGGCCCTGGGGACGCTGGGTGTCGGGGGGCAGCGCCCACCCATGGACGGTCCTGAGGCCCCAGGTCCTCGCCGGGACGCCACCTGTGGGGAAGGAGCGAGGGACACCCGGACAGAAGGCCGCCCGGCCCCCGAGGAGGCGAGTGGCCCCAGCTGCAGCCTCGGGAGTGGCCCCCAGACCCCCTTGCCCCCCGCCAGCCCCCCGCCGGCCTTCATCTCCAGCTTCAGCTTCATCCGGCTCTCGCTCAGTTCAGCCAGCGAACGTGGAGAAGCGGAGGGCTGCCCGCCGGCCAGGGAGGCCAAGGACACGGGGGCCAGAGCTGCCAGCCCAGATGGGCACCACCAGGACCCTGGATGTCTCTCTCCCCGCTTTGGTCTCAAGGCAGCTCGGGGCCCCGCGGACTCCGCCTGGACTCGGACGGGCGGCCCCCGGCTGGAGGGTGAGCCACTCTCTGTACTGGACACAGACGCCGCCTCCTCCTGCTCCCTGGATCCCCCAGGGTGCGAGGGGACTGCTAGCCGCTGGGACCCGCTGCTCCGGAAGTGCGAACCCCTGCTGCAGGGGTGTCTGCTCAGCCACCGCCGACGGCTGGAGGTGGGTGTCCCCAGCCCCGGGTCACCGGTCACAGTCTCTCATGAGCTCCGGGCAGAGGGCAGGAAGTGGGCGGTTCTGGGGGTGACCAACTTCCCCCCGAAGCTGCAGGAGACGCTGCTGCACGCCCGTCCCCTGCTTCTCCTTTTCCCTCCGAACACAGATCTGTTCTCCTTTCAGCTTCTCTGTCACGGAGGAGCTCAGATTTGCTCTCTGTTGGGCCGAGGGCTCCCCTGCTGATCCAGGCCCAGGTGATGCATGGTTAGTGCAGCCCAGCTCAGCTACCAGACAGGAACAAGCCAGCGAGAGGGGACGGCCCGGGAGCAGGGGACGGAGCTGGCTGTGTGGCGGCTGAGAGTTACAGAGTGGTGATACCCGTGTGGGATGCCACCCTCCTACTGTGGGGTCTGCCTGCCAGAGGGCATTTCCCGTTAAACCCCTCAGCTTCCTTGTTCTTTTTATTTATTTTTATTTTTTTAATTGATTTCAGAGAGGAAGGGAGAGGGAGAGGGAGATAGAAACAGCAATGATGAGAGAGAATCGCTGATCGGCTGCCTCCTGCATGCCCCACACTGGGGATCGAGGTCCCAACCCGGGCATGTGCCCTGACCGGGAATCGAACTGTGACCTCCTGGTTCATGGATTGACATGCAACCCCTGAGGCACAGTGACCAGGCTTGTAAGAGATTCCTGACATATTACCTTCCTCCAGTTCACCCACCGCATGGCCAGCAGAGCTGTGTTCCTGGGCGGTGGTGGGAAAGGGTTAGTCCTTGGTCTGAACCTTTGGGGCTCCTTGCTCCCGGGGACGGCATCCAAGTTCCTTATCCTGATCATCGCTGCCTTTCCTCTCCCCCCTCCCCCCCAGCCTGCCTGGGGGTGCCTTCCTCCTGCTGGGCCATCTGGTGCTGCTTCCTGTCCGCAGACCCCCGGCAGCTGCGCCTCAGAACTTTGCTCACAGTTTTCCCTCTGCCTGGAATTTCCTTCCTACACCTTCCCACCTGCCCGGCTCCTGTGTATCCTTTCTGGGGGCTCCGCAGCCACTTCCCCGTGTGACATTTCCTGCCCCCTCTGCACCCAATGCGTCCCCCCCCTTCCATTTTGTTCCCAAAGCACTTTGGACATGTCCCTGTTACAGCACTCACCACGTCCAGTGATGATTTTAAAAAATATATTTTTATTGATTTCAGAGAGGAAGGGGGAGGGAGGGAGAGAGGAAGAAAGAGAGAGAGAGAGAGAGAGAGAGAGACATCAATGATGAGAGAGAGTCACTGATCGGCCGCCTCCTGCACGCCCCCCTACTGGGGATTCAGCCTGCAACCCGGGCACGTGTCCTGACCGGGAATCGAACCCTGACCTTCTGGTTCCTAGGTCGATGCTCAACCCCTGAGCCGCACTGGCCGGCCTGGCCACCTTCCTAATTTTAATCTGATTATTATTTTTTTTTAGAATGGAGACCGTTAGGTCAGGTGAGGACATTTGTGTCCTTTTCATGATGCATGTTTCACGTAGCTGAGGCTACCGTGGCATGTTTTTGTTTAAAGTGACCTTTTAACTCTGTGGAGTTTATGCTCACATGACACTTTTTGTTTATGTACCTTTTTTTGTGTGTCAGAAAGGAATTCATCTGGCGCTGGAAAAATGTACACGCGTGGTTCCTTTCTTCCAGGCGAATGAAGACGTTCAGTTGTGCAATAGCTTCTGAATGCTCGCAGCGTTAGGAAGATAAGCTGGCTTTGAATGCCGTTGTAATTTCGTTTTCCTTTTCTCTCCCCCAAAACAACATAGGTGAACGCCTTAAGGCTGAAGCTTCAGAAACTCCAGGAGAAAGCCGTTGAGGAGGAGGATTACGATAAGGGTGAGTTTGACTTGTTTATCGGCTGTTTCTTCTGTTCCAGAATGTTCCATCTCTCACTCCCTTCCCGCCCAGATCTGCCTTCTGCCCCCAGATGAACTGGGCATTCACTTCCTCCAGACCAGCGGTTCTCAACCTTCTGGCCCTTTCGATACAGCTCCTCATGCTGTGACCCAACCATAACATTATTTTCGTTGCTACTTCATCACTGTCATGTTGCTCCTGTGATGAATCGTCATGTAAATATCTGACATGCAGGATGGTCTTAGGCGGCCCCTGTGAAAGGGTCGTTCGACCGCCAAAGGGGTCGCGACCCACAGGTTGAGAACCACTGCTCTAGACATTCGTCTCGGTGACAATAGACTAGTTATTTTTATTTTTTTATTTGTTTTTTATTGATTTAAGGGAGGGAGAGGGAGAGGGAGAGAAACATGAGTGATGAGAGAGAATCATGGATCAGCTGCCTCCTGAGTGCCTCACACTGGGGATCGAGCCTGCAACCCAGGCCAGTGTCCTGACCGGGAATTGAACTGTGACCTCCAGGTTCATAGGTCGATGCTCAACCACTGAGCCTCGCTGGCCGGGCTGAGCTCTTTGGCTTCATACTCTCTGGGACCACATGGCAAATGGGATGAGTTTGAAAGGGGCCAGCCGAGCTACAGGGGTCAAATCTATTAGCGTTCCATGAAGATGCCCGCCAGTGCCTACGCGAGGAAGGAGAAGTGGTAACACAAGACGAGAAGGTGGACTTGATCAGAAGCCAGAAACACACAAATTAGGAAGGTGGCCCGGCCAGCCTGGCTCAGGGGTTGAGCATCGACCTATGAACCAGGAGGTCAGGGTTCGAGTCCCAGTCAGGGCACATGCCCGGGTTTCGGCCTTGATCCCCAGTGTAGGGCGTGCAGGAGGCAGCCGATCCATGACTCTCTCTCATCATTGATGTTTCTATCTCTCTCTCCCTCTCCCTTCCTCTCTGAAATCAATAAAAATATATTCAAAAAGGAAAATAAAAGAAAAGACCATGGGACGGGTGGCAGCCTCTGAGTCACCTCTCTGCCTGCAGTCCGCAGGCAGGAAATGAGCCCCAGCGACATGGCTCCTTATTTCCTATTTGCCAAGAAGGAGCTCGTTCGCATGCAGCCTGACTCCTCTCAAGCTGCAAAAAGTGCTGGGTGTGAGGCGAAGCATATAGATTAAAGCGTGCAAATCACAACGAAGCACTGACAGCTCGGCCGGCCGCGCCCCCTCTCCCGAGGGCACACTGTTTTTCTTCCCGGTGGTCTGAATGTCATGACCCTGAGTTTCTTGTTCTCGGCCTCATTCTCGGCTGCACGACATTGGGTGACATTGAGAAAATGGAACTGAAACTCTGCTTGGGCTCTGAAGGAATTGGCTATCTTAATTTTGAGAGTAGATGGAAAAAAATGGAAAAGGAGAAAAATAAAAGAGGCATAAGTGGGGTGCTAAGGACAAGAGCAAAGAGGAAGAGATTGGAGAGGTTGATTCTCTGTCCGGGTCATTTTTCTTTAAAAAAAAAAAAGTTTTATTGATTTCAGAGAGAGGAAGGGAGAGGGAGAGAGAGAGAAACGTGAACGATGAGGGAGAATCATCGATCAGCTGCCTCCTGCACACCCCGCATTGGGGATCGCACCCACAACCCAGTCATGCCCTGACCAGGAATCGAACCGTGACCTCCTGGTTCATAGGTCGATGCTCAACCACTGAGCCACGCCGGCCGGGTATGTCCGGGTCATGTTTCTGCGAGCGTCTGCTGCTCTGTGACCTGTGCCCTCGTGGGCAGAGGGGGTTCAGGGTCAGTTCCCAGCCAACGGTTCGATCCTTCCATCCAAAACTGCCATTCAAGAGCATGGCGCCCGTGTCCTCTGCGTCGCGGCAATGACACGGTGCCACCGCCGTCCCGTGGGCCCCTCGAGCTCCACATGCCTCGCTGGGCAGCTAATTTGTTTTTATAAGCGGTTCCACCACTTAATTAAATCTCGCATCTTGTCTGATAGAACTCGGACAGCCGCTCTACCAGCAACACACTCTGCACGACAGAGTGTCACAGCCGAGGGGCCCTCCCGTGGCTGCTGTCCCGGGTGTAAGGGACCTTCCGTGGCTCCCTGCCTGCGGCCCCTGCGTGTGCATCGGCCGCTCCGGAGGCCCTGTCTTCCCCAGGCGACGCCTGACCCACTTCCTGAAAAAAAGTTATCTGGGAAAATGTGACTGTGTCCTGTGAGAGTTGGGAACAGAGACCTTGGCTGTCTATAGATATTTGAGGGGGACCGAGGTCTTGAGTTGGAAGGAGGCAGACACCCTGCAGAACTCAAGGGCGTCTCGTGGGCCATGGGTGGAAGTCACAGGGGGAATTGCTTGCTCTTCCCTGGTGCTGGTGGCGGGGGTCGGGACCAGGAGTCTTTAAAAAAAACAGCCCTGATCTGTCTGGCTCGGTGGATGGAGCCGGCCTGCGGACTAAAGGATCCCAGGTTCGATTCTGGTCAAGGACATGTCCCTGGGTTGCAGACGCATCCCCAGTGGGGGGTGTGCAGGAGGCAGCTGATCAATGTTTCTCTCTCATCGATGTTTCTAACTCTCTATCCCTCTCCCTTCCTCTCTGCAAAAAATCAATAAAATATATTTAAATATGTATGCGTGTGTGTATATATTTTTGGTATTAATTTCAGAGAGGAAGGGGGAGGGAGAGAGAGCTAGAAACATCCATGATGAGAGAGAATCATGGATGGGCTGCCTCCTGCACGCCCCACACTGGGGATCGAGCCTGTAACCCTGGCATGTGCCCTGACCGGGAATCGAACTGGGACCTCCTTGTTCTAGGTCGACGCTCAGCCACTGGGCACATGCCCGCCGGGTTGTGGCCTCGATCCCCAGTGGGGGCCATGCAGGAGGCGGCCAATCCACGATTCTCCCTCATCATTGATGTTTCTCTCTCTCTCTCTCCCTCTCCCTTCCTCTCTGAAGTCAGTAAAAATCAATAAAAAACAAAAACGTACGGGGATGACAGGGTGACAGAATCAGATAGGTCCCAGGTCTCCTAGCGGCAGCTGGAATACCCCTGAGCGCCTCGCCTCACGCCTTTGACAGGCGACAGGGACCGGAGAGCCCCCGGCAGAGGGACGCTGTGACATCCCACAGTAGACACGCGGGGCTGCTTCCAGTCACGGCAGCGTGCTGGGCGGAATGACCTTTATCAAAGGCTGACGACAGTGATGTAGCAGAAGGGACAGCTTTCCACTTGACCTTTACAGCACGCCCGCTTGTCTCCCGGGGAAATAAGTCACCGCCGACCGGCTCCGTGGGACCCGGCGGACGCTCGCTGTCTGGGAGGAGAGAGGACCGAGCAGCCCCTGAGCTCTGCAGTGAGATGACTGTCATGTCCCCACGCGCGGCTTGGAAATGACCACTACCCGGTCACTGCCAGGACATGTGGCGGAATTATTATTATTGTTTTTGTTAATCCTCACCCAAGGATGTTTTTCTGTTGATTTTTAAAGAGATGCCCTAACCGGTTTGGCTCGGTGGATAGAGCGTCGGCCTGCGGACTGAAGGGTCCCAGGTTCGATTCTGGTCAGGGGCATGCATGTACCTGGGTTGCGGGCACATCCCCAGTGGGCGGGTGTGCGGGAGGCAGCTGATGGATGTTTCTCTCTCATCAATGTTTCTAACTCTCTATCCCTCTCCCTTCCTCTCTGTAAAAAATCAATAAAATATCTTAAAAAATAATAATTAAAAAAATAAAGAGCGTGGAAGAGAGGGGGAAAGACAGAGAGAAGCATCGAGGTGAGAGAAACACATGGATCGGTTGCCTCCTGCCCACGCCCCCCTGGTAGGGGAGGAGCCTGCAACTGAGGAATCCAACCCGGGACCCTTTGGTCCGCAGGCTGCCGCTCTAGCCACTGAGCCAGACCGGCTAGGGCTCAACCCGGGCTGCTTTTACACGTTTTTTTTTTTTTTAAAATATATTTTATTGATTTTTTACGGAGAGGAAGGAAGAGGGATAGACAGTTAGAAACATCGATCAGCTGCCTCCTGCACACTCCCTACTGGGGATGTGCCCGCAACCAAGGTACATGCCCTTGGCCTGAATCGAACCCGGGACCCTTTGGTCCGCAGGCCGACGCTCTATCCACTGATCCAAACCGGTTAGGGCTGCTTTTACACGTCTAATGGAAGCTTGACCTTCGAGGGTCCAAACCACAGGAGCTGGAGGTGCCCAGGCTGCAGGGCGATGGCGCGCGACTCCGATTGGGCGCCCAGCGTGGGGACGGGAGTGCCGAGCGCCCTGCCAGTCGTCCAGGCGACGCAGGTGCTTCCGATGAGTTTTCCAGCGCAAACAGCCGCGGGCTCGCGGTCAAGGCTGTTCTGTGTCCGTGCCCCTGAGAGCTGCGCCTTCCCTTCCCGGCGGCTGGAACCAATTGCTTTGGATCCGCCATGCGGCCGCAACACCCAGGCGCAGCCTCCTGCTGGGGAGTCTCCCAGAATTCAGTCCACAGAGCCAGCCGTGACCGTGTCTTTTGACACAATGCGAAGAAAAAGAGGATTCGGGTGGGAAAACAGGATCAGGAAGGATAAGGGTGGCATCTTGCTGCTGTCCCTGTCGTTCTCGCCTTTCCGGATAGTCTGAGGCTGGTCGTGAGCTCGAGGAAAGGCCCGCTGATCAGAGTCCATCCTTTTGGGCCCGTGCCAGCTTTCCACAGACGATCTCACTTAACCCTCAGCAAACCTTAGGGTGCAGATGCTCGTGTGCACCCCGTGTCTGCACATTAAGAAACTGGAGCCGAGGAAGTTAAGTTAAGCGACTTGAAGGTCAGACAGCCGGGAGGGGCAGAGTTGAGGTGCGGACTCCATTTTCTCCTAGTCCCACATGATGAAGGCATCCGTGTTATCTTTTTCTTTTTAAAATATATTTTTATTGATCTCAGAGAGGAAAGGAGAGGGAGAGAGAGAGAGAGAGAAACATCAATGATGAAAGAGAATCATGGATCAGCTGCCTCCTGCACGCTCCCCACTGGGGATGGAGCCCGCCACCCGGGTGTGTGCCCTGAGCGGGAATCGAACCACGGGGCCTCCTGGTTCATAGGTTGACACTCAACCACTGAGTCTCGCCGACTGGGCAAGACAGGAAATTCTTTTTTTTTTTTTTTTTTAAATATATTTTTATTGATTTTTTACAGAGAAGAAGGGGGAGGGATAGAGAGTTGGAAACATCGATGAGAGAGAAACATCGATCAGCTGCCTCCTGCACACCCCCTACTGGGATGTGCCCACAACCAAGTACATGCCCTTGACTGGAATCGAACCTGGGGCCCTTCAGTCCGCAGGCCGACGCTCCATCCACCGAGCCAAACCGGTTAGGGCAAGACAGGAGATTCTTAAAAGCACCAACTGAGAGATGCACGCCCTGGCCTGGAACCTGTGCCCTTGGCCATGTCATCAGGGTGGACGTGGACTGGGCGTGGAGCTGGGAGGCCCTGGGTTGTCTGCTTTGAGTTGCATGAATCTTCACTCCTCTTTCATCGTTTTGCGTTTCTAGCGGAAACGTTCAAGCACAAGTTGGACAACCTGGAGGAGGAGGAGGAGGAGGAGAGCAGCCTGTGCTTCCAGCTCCCCTCGAGGCAGCCGGCCCTCTGCAGCCTCCTGGTCCACCTGGGAGCCCAGGCCGAGGCCGCCTTGCACCGGGCAGCTGAGCAGTAAGTGCTGGGGAGGCCACCTCCTCTCCCCGTCTCCCCGTCTCCCGTCTCCCGCTCTCAGTCCAGGGGGTGAAGAGCTGGGAGGGGTGAGCTGGGGAGACCTGCTGCTGCTTTTGATCGGAAACGCCCTTTTGTTGGTTGGGCAGGTGGCAGTTTCTTCCCGGGTGAGGGACCCGTGTGGGTCCCGCCCCTAAGACACCCTTTCCACCAGTCGACAGGGAGAGGCCCTGGACATGGGGTTTTTTAATTGATTTCAGAGAGGAAGGGAGAGGGACAGAGAGAGAAACATCAATGAGAGAGAATCATGGATTGGCTGCCTCCTGCACGCCCCCCACTGGGGATGGAGCCTGCAACCGGGCATGTGTACCGACTGGGAATCAAACCCTGACCTCCTGGTTCATAGGTCGAAGCTCAACCACTGAGCCACACCAGCCGGGCTGGGATCTTATTTTACAAACAGGTTTTATTCCTCCTTAAATGATTGGGGGAAAAGACGAAAGTAGAAAGGGCAGCATTTTTTTTTTTTTTTTTTTGCAGCAGTGGGCAGTCCCAGATGGGGGCCTGCGAGCCACCTCAGGTCTGCACGGGCGTCCAAGACACCCCGAGTGCCCTGCACCCCGAGTGCTGTTCTAACATCCCAGCCTCCTGCTTTATTTTTTAAAATATATATTGTTACTCATTTCAGAGAGGAAGGGAGAGGGAGAGAGAGGTAGATACATCAATGATGAGAGAGAACCATTGATCGGCTACCTCCTGCACGCCCCTCACTGGGGATTGAGCCCGCAACCCGGGCACGTGCCCTTGACTGGAATCGAACCTGGGACTCTTCAGTCCGTAGGCCAGTGCTCTATCCACTGAACCACACCAGCCAGGGCCCGCCCTCCTGCTTTGATTCTCGCCCCAGGGACGGGCTTGTTTCTCATCCTGATTCGCTGAGAGCAGCGCCACTGCCGACACTGGGGATTACACAGTGAGACTGTGGAGCACAAAGGGAACAACACTGTGGAAGGGAGAGGCGGGGGGCTCAGAGGACTGAGGTCTGCGGGACGGGAACCTGTCCCCGGCTTCATTCCGGAGCTGCCATGTGTCCCGGGGCGCCGCTCAGCCGGCTGGGGACGCTTTCCGCACCCCCATCGGAGCCCGAGAGGCAGGGAGGCGCGAGGGTAACTGCAGGGGCTTCCCTGGTGGGTTAGGTAATGAATGTGATTAACCAGCACGGAGAATTCCCAGGTACCCACCTGTCGCTCTTCGTCGCTCATTTCAATCAGATGCCGATTTCCTCCCATGGCTCCCAGCCCGGCCCAGATGGCACCCTGTGTAGGAAATTCAGGAAACTGCATATTTGCACACGCAGAGCACACGGGGAAATAATGTGTGCAGAGGAGTGGTCTCAGGAGCAGAGCGCCGACTATAAGCCAGTTCTGGGTTTTCTGGGACCCTGGACTCATGAAATCAGTCAACAGATATTTGCTGAGACCCTGCTCCGGCTGGGCCCTGGGACCCAGGACTGTCCCCTGAGGCTCACAGTCTAGCGCAAGGGGCTGTGTGAACAGGCCAGACTGGAGGGGGGGCGAGGGGGGCGGGCGGAGGAGGCAGCGTGTCCATTCCCGTGGAATTCAATAGATGAGGATGGCTTTGTTCTCTCCTGATTCCGGTAAAGCCTCAGAAACAGTCCATCTTTTTTCAATCGAAAGTATTTTACTTTTAATTTTTTAAAATAGATTTTTATTGGTTTCAGAGAGGAAAGGAGAGGGGGAGAGAGATAGAAACATCAATGATGAGAGAGAATCACGGATCGGCTGCCTCCAGCACGCCCCACAGTGGGGATGGAGCCCGCCACCCGGGCATGTGCCCCGACCGGGAATTGAACCGTGACCTCCTGGTTCATAGGTCGATGCTCAACCACTGAGCCACGCCAGCCGGGCTAGTAGCTGCATTTAAAAAAAAGAAACATGTAAAAAAGTTAATTTAAAAAATATATTTAATTCAACTTGATGCATAAAAAAGTATTATCATTCCAACCTGTAACGAACATCAAAATGTCATCAATGAGCTATTTTTCACTCTTTGTTTTTTATTGAATCTTTAACATCAGGTGTGTTTTCCAGGATCAGCACATATATAACCACCTGAGGCAAGGGGATGGGCAGTGGGCGATGCAGGTCCGACAATAGCAAGCTGGCTCCTCTCGAAACCAAAAGCCCCGACAGATGGTCATTAACGCAGAAACGTCCACTGGGGAGCTCGCCCCGGGGACCCGCCTAAGGATGAGGACAGCTGGGGCCACTTTGTGAAATCTCTTGCTCTTAACATTCTTGTAGACCCGAGGGTCCCAGCTTCCCCATGTCTGTACCCACACGCCTGCTTTATTTTAAGGGCGGGCGGCGAGGACACCCAGGCCCCGCTCTGCATGGTCCCCCCGGCTGACGGCCCCCCGTGCGCATCTGTCACCAGACGAGACCGACTTCTTCACGAAAAGCAGCAACTGCAGGTAAGCAGGTGAGGAATATTCAAGAAACAGGAAGCAGGCCTGCCCGGCGCGGCTCTGTGGTGGAGCGTCGACCTATGAACCAGGGGGTCACGGTTCGATTCCCGGTCAGGGCACATGCCCGGGGGGTGGGCTCCATCCCCAGTGTGGGGCGTGCAGGAGGCAGCCGATCCGTGATTCTCTCTCATCATGGATGTTTCCATCTCCCTCTCCCTTCCTCTTTGAAATCAATAAAAATATATTTAAAAAAAGAAATAGGAAGCACTTTCCTTATCCATTTAGGCCAAAGGCAGCGCAGCGGTTCTGTGCGTGGGTGGTCATTAGTGCTTGGCTGTCCCCCGCGAGTGCAAAGGGCAGAGACGCGGGAGGTGACAGCTGGGCTCACAGGAGCCTCCTTGCAAACTAGCGGCTGCCGCTTGCGGCCTCCGGCTTGTTCCGATGGCGCTCATTACCTTTGCGGGCGCCTCCCTGCCTGCCAGGCCCATGTGTCACCTCTTATCAGCCTGACCTTCAGAGAGGGCTTTCCAGGCGGGAAGAAATCGCTTAGGAAATTCCTGTCCAGTTGGACTGTGAGCAGCAGTTGCTAGGAGGTGGATTTTAAGTATGGATTGGGCGAGGCAGACGCTCTGGGAATGACTGGCAGGCGCCACGTGGGAGCTCCGGGTGGCCCTGAGCAGTGGACGGGTCACCCAGGGGCTGGGAGCCCAGTGGTAGCACCAAGCTAAGTTGGGGGAGGGGGCGGGGTGAGGGTGATCAGGAGCTCTGGACGGTGAGACGCCCCCCAGAGGCAGGACACTTGAAGCGGAATCTCCACTTGCTGGAGCCTGGGGGCTTGGAGGCAGGAGTGGGGGGCCTGGAGTCAGGAATGGGGGGCCTGGAGGCAGGAGTGGTGTGCTGGGGGCCTGGAGGCAGGAGTGGGGGGCCTGGAGGCAGGAATGGGGAGGCTGGGGGCCTGGAGGCCGGAATGAAGGGCTGGGGGCCTGGAGGCAGGAATGGGGGGTCTGGAGGCAGGAGTGGGGGGCCTGGAGGCAGGAATGGGGGGTCTGGAGGCAGGAGTGGAGGGCCTGGAGGCAGGAGTGGGGGGCCTGGAGGCAGGAGTGGGGTCGCTGGGGGCAGGAATGGGGGGGCTGGAGGCAGGAGTGGGGACGCTGGGGGCAGGAATGGGGGGCCTGGAGGCAGGAGTGGGGGGTCTGGAGGCAGGAGTGGGGACGCTGGGGGCAGGAATGGGGGGCCTGGAGGCAGGAGTGGGGGGGCTGGGGGCCTGGAGGCAGGAGTGGGGTGCTGGGGGCCTGGAGGCAGGAGTGGGGGGCCTGGAGGCAGGAGTGGGGAGCAGTGAGGGAACGTGGAGCAGAGGCAGCCTGGCTTCTGGAAGGAGCCTCGGACTTGAACACCCAGCTCCGCAGCACGCACAGGGCTGATGTGTGAACTCGCCTCTCCTCTCCCTGCAGGAGGAGATGGAAGCCCTGCAGGCCCGTATGTCTGTGCTGGCAGCGAAGGACCAGCAGCTGAGAAGGGAGATGGAGCTGCAGCAGCAACTCCTCCGGTGGCGGGACTGTGACCTGCGGCCCCTGCTGGAAGGGCTGACCCCAGGCGAGCTGCAGGAGGTCCACCAGGCGGCAAGGGACACCCTGGCCCTGGCCGGTCAGAGTCCCCTCCCTGCAGGACCTCCCGAAGCCGTAAGGAGGTACTGGTGACTTCCTGCCATTTCCGATTGCTCACCTGGACCCGTGTGTGGGTGCTGTCCCTCATGTATGATATTTTCCAAATGGAGCTGCAGTTCTTTGTTTTATTTTAAAAAATATATATTTGTATTGATTTCAGAGGGGAAGGGAGAGCGAGAGAGAGAGAGAAACATCAATCTGTTGCCTCCCATATGCGCCTCGACTAGGGATGGAACCCACAACCCAGGTGTGTGCCCTAACTGGGAATCGAACCCACAACCTTTTTGGTGTACGGAGATGATGATCCAACCAACTGAGCCTCCAGCCAGGGCCTTCTCTCTCTCTTTGACGGACTTTTCTCGTCTCAAAGAGTTACGAGAATTTAAAATGCGAATCTGTGTCAGGGATATAGGAGCGTGCCTGGGACACAGGAAGTGCTCAATAAATGTTCGCACGATTATTCCCACGAGTATTCCGACGAAGATACTCACTCGCGTCAGTGTGGTCTGGGGTGCGTGTTAAACCATCACCTGGTGCCTTGTGGAGGTATGTCTTTCTAGGGCCCAGTGCCATTTGATCTGAGACGAGTTATTTGTCACAAGCAGCGTGCAAGCTGGCGAGAAACAAGTGATTTGTTTGAATCCTCAGCGTGCATATAACGCTTGTGTCTAGACATTTCACTCATCTAATTGGGTGGTTGTCAATGTGTATTTCTGCTCCTGGAATCGTGGTTTGGGGACCACAATGTAACGCAAGGAGCAGTGGGTGTTTGGGGTCCACGTGACATCATCTGTCGTAGGCCAGACACCCCACCTCAATCATAACAGATCCCCTGCCCAGCTGGTGTGGCTCAGTGGTTGAGCGTCGACCTATGAACCGGGAGGTCACAGTTTGATTCCCGGTCAGGGCACAGGCCCGGGTTGCGGGCTCGATCCCCAGTGTGTGGCGTGCAGGAGGCAGCCGATCCATAATTCTCTCTTATCATTGATCTCTCTCTCTCTCTCTCCCTCTCCCTTCCTTTCTGAAATCAATAGGAATATATTGTTTAATAACCTTTGTTTAATAGAGTTCTACTGCTAAAAATAGCACGCGAGCCACTGGCAGGGGGCATGGATTATTCATGTTCCCCCGCCCCCCTGCCGCGTCCATTCCCTGTCTACCCCAGGGAGGCAAGGAATGTTAACATTAGCCTGAGCAAAACATAATTAGGCAGGTAAATCTACTGCAAGACGTAATATAGCATAAATTACATAAATTAAATGTAAATCAGATCAAACAGAAAACAACGCGGCCAATTACGCGCATCGCTGCCTCCCTGCTCTCGCCCGCGTGTCTGAAGGAGGCTGATGTTTTCTCTGGGAAAGAGCCGGAGCTGAGCCCAGACCCACTCGGTGAGTCAGCCCGGAGGGCGGTGCTTGCCCCCCTGGACGTTCGCTGAAGATGCTGCCCAGGGGGTCAGCTCCATTCCAGGGTCCTAAGTGCACCCACTGCCCATCTGTCCTGTTAATGCGTGAATCAGTCTTTTGAGTGTGGCTGGGAACACCTGTTTTTTTTTTTAAAACTATGTTTTTATTGATTTCAGAGAGGAAAGGGAGAGGGAGAGAGAGATAGAAACATCAATGATGAGAGAGACTCATGGATCCGCTGCCTCCCGCACGCCCCCTATTGGGGATCAAGCCTGCAACCCAGCATGTGCCCAGACCGGGAATCAAACTGTGACCTCCTGGTTCATAGGTCAACGCCCGACCCCTGAGCCACGCCGGCCGGGCATAGGTAGATGTACTTTAAATTCGTGCATCTCCTGTGTGCCCCCCCCACCCCACACTGCCACACACAGCAGGCGCTCGGCACAGGTGGGCGGGATGGCACTGTGTCCCCGAACAGATCAGCGGGTGACCAGCCTATGAACCACTGTCCCGTGTAGACCTTCGCGTTTGGTAGGTAGTTGCAGGGCCGTGAATGTTAACCCTCTGCCGCCAGGAGCATATCTGGGGCGTTCCTGCCCCTGTCAGTGGACGTGCCCTGTGGAGTTTAACTTTGGCCTAAGCAGAGCATCACCCGGGAGGGGCAGTCCGTTTCCCGCCAGCATATTAACGCCACAGCCAATGGGAGCCCCCCCCCTTTTTAAAAAAAATATATTTTTATTGATTTCAGAGAGGAAGGAAGAGGGAGAGAGAGATAGAAACATCAATGATGAGAACCATTGATTGGCTGCCTCCTGCACACCCCCACTGGGGATCGAGCCCGCAACCTAGGCATATGCCCTGACCGGAATCGAACCTGGGACCCTTCAGTCCGCAGGCCGATGCTCTGTCCACCGAGCCAAACTGGCTAGGGCAACGGGAGCCCCTTTGGCATCGTCTTTCCTTCTGTTCTTCAGCCAGAGGGCCGACGGGGGCCAGTGTCTCCGAGTGTCCCGCATGGGGTGGGATGGAACGGTGACTCCCAGGAGACCAAGGTCCTCTCTTTCGTTCGTTCTTCCAGCCTCCAGGAAAGGCTGAAACCCCTCCACTGGTCCCTGAGAGAAATCGCTGCGAAGGTAAGGCCTCCCCACGCCCGTTCCCTAAAGAGATCGCGCTTCGCTGCCTTCGCAGTTGTCCCCGATGAGGACTCAGGCTTGTCTCCCTCCTCCCCTCCTCCCCCCCAGGTGTGCAGGACCCAGAGGCTGTGCGGCTCCCTGCGGAGGAGCCTTCACGAGATCGAGACCCAGCTCCCGGCGTTGCTGGAGGCCAAAATGCTGGCCGTGTCAGGTAACCGCTGCCCAGCCGGCCACCTCCAGCTCTGGTGGCTGAAAACGTCGTTTCTTTAAGAGTTTAAGACGCCCCGGGCTCTCTGTGTCGTTCCGGCCGGTGTTTCCGTGGCGTTATGTGCCTGTAGGTGCTCAGTGGGGCGGCCGAGGGCACTGGTGACAAGACCCACGAATAGATGGGCAGCGAGGTCTCCTTATGAAGGGATGGGTGAGCCTCGTACAGATACATGTTCACACGTGATAAGGAGGAAGTTATCTGTGTGGGTACCCTGTTTGGGACTTCCACTTCCTGTTTCTTTTTATTTCTATCTTTTTAAAATCTATTTTGTTGATTTCAAAGAGGAAGGGAGAGGCAGAGAGAGATGGAAGCATCAGCAATGAGAATCATAGATGGGCTGCCTCCTGCACGCCCCCCTACTGGGGATGGAGCCGGCAACCTGGTCAGGGCACACGCCCAGGAATCGAACCGTGACCTCCTAGTTCATAGGTCGATGCTCAGCCACTGAGCCACGCCATTTGGGCCACTTTCTGTGTGTTTTTTTTATAAAGAGTTTAAGATTACAGGTCCTCAATGTCCTTCTAGCCCAGTGGTACTCAACCTTCTGGCCCTTTCAATACAGTTCCTCATGTGGTGACCCAACCATAACATTATTTTCGTGGCTACTTCATCACTGTCATGTTGCTACTGTGACGAATCGTCATGGAAATATCTGATAGGCAGGGTGGTCTTAGGCGACCCCCGTGAAAAGGTCGTTCGGCCGCCAAAGGGGTCGCGACCCACAGGTTGAGAACCACTGTTCTAGCCAGTGTTCCTGTGGCATCATGTACCTATAGAAGCTCAGTGAGGGGCTATTGGATGTGGTCAGCCCCTTCCCATAGAGTAGGGGTGGGGAACCTTTTTCCTGCCAAGGGCCATCTGCATATTTATATCACAATCCACGGGCCATACAATATTATCAACTTGGAAACTAGCCTGCAGACATTTAATTAACTCACCCCTGCTGCCTCAGGAGGCCAGACCAAATGATTTCTCGGGCCTTGTGGGCCCGCAGGCCGGACGTCCCCCACCCCCGTTATCCGGGGAAGAGTGATAACACGGTACAAGGTGACGCCCAGTTTAACAACCTGCTCATCGATGACAGGGTGTTGGGATACTCAGGGGATCCCTTTTCAGTCTGGTAGTTATTAAGGGATATACTACTCCATTAGTAGGTTGAAAGCACGCGTTTCTTTTTCTTTTTCTTTCTTTTCTTTTCTTTTTTTTTTTAAAATATATTTTATTGATCTTTTACAGAGAGGAAGGGAGAGAGATAGAGAGCTAGAAACATCGATGAGAGAGAAACATCGATCAGCCGCCTCCTGCACATCTCCCACTGGGGATATGCCCGCAACCCAGGCACACGCCCCTGACCGGAATCGAACCTGGGACCCCCCAGTCCGCAGTCCGACGCTCCATCCACTGAGCCAAACCGGTTTCGGCGAAAACACGCGTTTCTGACTCTGTCATTTACACAGTCCACCGTATTGTTTTATTTCGTCTCACAACAGCTGTATTACGTTGGTGGGAGAGGTACAGGTGGGGGCCTCGGGGAACAGATGGGGGTGGTGGTGGAGGCCCGGGGGTACCCCGTGGTTAAGTTCACTCAGTTACCGAGAGGCGGCCGATCGGGCTGGCGTCCAGGTGGGACGTCTGGATCCTCATCAGCTTCAGAAGAGCCGTAAACATTTAATGTAAGGTACGATCGTCCCAGGCCTGGGCTTTGTGTGGCTTTAAGAAGGAAGGTAATCCCTGGCAGCTTCTGTCTTCACTTCATTAAACAAGTACCGTTGGCAGCTAACGAGCAATTTGGCTCCCGGCGCGGCCACGCGGGTTATTTACAACCAGGAGGACGCGAAAGGGGGGCCTGGGGCTCAGCTCTTCACGGCGCCACGAGCCATTTCCTTGGAATGATGGCCCCACTGGCCGAGAGAGAGATGGGAAGAGTGAACACGGTCTCGCTTCGAGCTGGGGCTCTGCCTGCCTCCATCAGCGCGTCCTTCCCGGGGGTACAGGCGGACGTGTCTCCCTGAAGCCCAGGGGAGGCGGTATGTCATTCAGGCAGCGGGGCCAGCCCTCTCTGCCGTGGGGATCATTTCTCGTTAGACTCCCAGGAGGAACGCGTGGGAAGGTGTCTTGCATTTGGGGCCTGGGGTTTTCTGTTTTGTTCTCCGATCAGCTGAGGGAATCGGTGTCGCCTGAAGAATTGGGCTGGGAACTCACCTCTTTTTTTTTTTTAAAAAAAATATTTGTATTGATTTCAGATAGAAATGTCATTGATGAGAGAGAATCACGGATCGGCTGCCTCCTGCACACCCCCTACTAGGGATCGAGCCTGCAACCCGGGCACGTGCCCTGACGGGGGAATCGAACCGTGACCTCCTGGTTCATAGGTCGAAGCTAGACCACTGAGCCACACCAGCCGGGCAAGAATCTGTGTGTGGGGTGGTGGTGGGGATGGTGGTGGTGGGAAATATTTAAACTCAGACTCGTTGAGGATAAAGGGAGACAGAACAGAGTGGCTAAAATCAGCTTCAGCTTTAGCATATGCCTAGAGATCTTTAATTTTATTTGTAGAATAGAATATCTTGACAGGGGCTTTAAGAAAAACCAATGTGAGCCCTGGCTGGTTTGGCTCAGTGGGTAGAGCGTTGGCCTGTGGACTGTAGGGTCCCGGGTTCGATTCCAGCCAAGGGCACATGCCCAGGTTGCAGGATCAAGCCCCACTTGGGGCGGGGGGTGTGTGCAGGAGGCAGCCGATCCATGATTCTCTCTCATCATTGATGTTTCTATGTCTTTCTCCCTCTGCCTTCCTCTCTAAAAAAAATATATATATATATATATATATATGTATGTATATATATATATATATATATATATATATATATGAAAAAAATCCACGTGAATGCCCAAGGGTGCTCGCTCCCCTGGCTGCTGAGAAGGCCGGCATGTGTGTTGCGCGATGGCGAAGGCGAGCCATTCATCTCCACGCCAACCCTCGGTGCGTCTAGGAGCGGGCCCATTAGAGTCTCGGAGATTGGGGTCACCGGGTCCCTGATGGGCCTCTCTTCAGGAGTCAGCGTCTGTACTGCTCTGATTTCCATCACAGGCCTCTGGGCCCGTTCCCGCCGTCAGCGAGCTTGGCCTCGGGCTGGGGACTGAGGCCAGGACGCGTCTGAAATATCAGCCGAGGGCGGCGTAGCATTCCGAGGGCTCGCGCTCCGACATGAACGGCCTCTTTGGGAACTGGGCTCCTTGTGCGTGTGTAACACTTGCACGGCTCTCACGATGCGTTTCCCAGCCGTGCTCCCCAGACGGCAGGCGGGGCCCGGGGCTCAGTTAATGATCATTCACATCTGATCGAGGGCCCGGGTCTCGGGTTTGCACTGAGTTGCAGATGGGCCTGGGACCGTGCTCCCAGCCGCCCCTCTGTACAGGCCCTCGTGTCTGCGTGAGCTCTTCCCACGTGTGTTCAGACGCCTTTTCTCTCTGGACCGTCCCCAGGAGGCGATGGCACTCTGGGGCGTGTTTTGCCTGGTGGCTCAGTTGGGGGCACAGTTGGTGCCCCCCCCCGACTGTTTGATCTCTTGCTTGAAAACCGGGTGCAGCCCGGGCGGCGAGGCTCAGGGGTTGAGCACTGACCTAGGAACCAGGAGGTCACGGTTCGATTCCCGGTCAGGGCACATGCCCGGGTTGCGGGCTCGATCCCCAGTGTGGGGCGTGCAGGAGGCAGCCGATCCATGATTCTCTCTCATCCTTGATGTTTCTCCCTCTCTCCCTCTCTCTCCCTCCCTGAAATCAATAAAAATATATTAAAAAAACAGTAAGTCCTTCAGGCTTGGGGATGCCTCAAAGCTTACGTCTCCTTCTCTCCACGCGGTGCTGCAGGAAACCATTTCTCCACGGCCAAGGAGCTCGCAGAGGAGATCGGCGCGCTGACCATGGAGAGGGACGGGCTGGAGGGCCTCCTGGCCCGGCTGGCGGGGCTGAGCGCCAGGAACGTCGCCGCGCTGGGGGGTGTGCAGGCCGATTACAGCCGGCTGCAGAGGGAGCTGGACCGCGGGAAGGCCGCCCACGGTAAGCTGTCTCCGCTGTTGCTGCCGAAATATTTGAGATCGATGGTGCGGTGTGGCCAGGCGGCTCGGACCGCGCTCCGCCTGGGGGTCCCTGAAGCGCGTCCTGATCACACGCACACGCCTCCGCCCAACAGGAGGAGTGTTTGCCAGGAGCCTTGGCAAGCGGGGAGAGTTACTTGGCAGCTTTTGTTCTGCAATCGCAGGCGATCGATCCTTCCTTTCTCTGTCCGACCCCCGCCTCCACTCCCCGGACTTGCTGATGCTGGTGGTGGTGGAGAGCAAGCGCTGCCTTGGCGCGCGGCTTGGGAACTTGCCCTGTTGGACGGTCGTCTTCCTTTGGGTCCCTGGCTCTGTTTTCTGGCTTGACAATCGCAGATGAATGCGGGCCGGTTCTGAGAAACCCGAGAAAAGGCCGGGGAGTGGCTCTTCTGTGCGTGAGCTTTTCTGAGAGCTTCCCCCCCCCCCCACCTCCCCAGGAGCGATGCAGGCGAGGCCAGAGTGGCCCCCAGCGGAGGAGTTAGCGTTTCGTGTTCCTTTTCCCAGGCTCCTCGTGAGGACTCGTCAAGGTCGCCTGGAGGTCGGCTCCCCGAGGGGTAGTCTCAGCAGACTCCAGTTCAGTCCAAATGGATAAAGTAAAAAAAATCTTGCTTCTTAAAAAAAACAAAAAAAGTGAAGCATTTACGACGATTCCGTTTCTAACACGCAGAATGGAATCCTAAGAAGCAAACTCAGATTTAAAATCTATGCGATGCTGGGGCCTGTTTCTTTACCAGTAAAAGGGGAAGAGTAATTTCCATCTCGTAGGCTGATCCGTGGTACAGATTCAATGAGGTGACAGACAAGGGGTGTGTGTGTGTGTGTGTGTGTGTGTAAGTATGTGTGTTAATGGGTGTGTCCATGCATTTTCCCTAGGAACTCCAGGTTTCTGGAGGGCAGAGGTCACACATAGCCTATCATGGTCCCTACATGCATGTTGTTTCCTAGGAAAATGAAAGACACACATACTAATAGTGACTATATTTACAAAGTATGCTTATCTCGAAAGAAGAGAAGACTGGGGGTATCGCGTAGCTAGATTTGAAATCGGCTAGCAGAACCTAGGTGTGCCATTTTACTATGAGTAAATTTTGTTTTAAAGGCTTCCTAACCTGTGTAGACGGAGGTCTCTTCACAGAGTTAGGGTGGTAACTGTTACTGTGCCTTTTAAAAATGTCTGTATTGTTATTGAGTTCAGAGAGGAAGGGACAGGGAGAGAGAGAGAAACATCTATGATGAGAGAGAGTCATAGATCAGTTGCCTTCTGCACGCCCTCTCCTGGGGGTCGAGCCCGCAACCCAGGCATGTGCCCTGACCAGGAATCGAACCGTGACCTCCTGGTTCACAGGTCGACGCTCAACCACTGAGCCACGCCGGCCGGTGTTACCGTGTCTTTTTAGTGATGGACACCCCTAGGTTGGCTCAACTCAGAGCTGCTTTTTCTTTTTCACTTTTCCCCAAGCCTTGTTTTTGTCAACCTTTGGGGCCTTGGTGTATAACTGTGGTCCTGAGGAACCCCAGCGCGCTCCCCCGAGATGGAGCAGTGTGGCTCACGTTACCATGGCGATGAGCATTGTGTATCTCAACTGAGTTCCTGCTGTGGACTTTTAAAAATTGGATGAACAATGAAAACAATGAAATCTCGCCTATGATCCCCACACAATTTTGGGCACAGCATGGGGAATGCTCTATGTATCTATCTATACTAATAAAAGGGTAATATGCTAATTAGACCAGACATCTTCCGGACGTCCTTCCGGACAAAGCCACATTGGCAGGGGTTGAGGCAGAGGCAGTTAGGGGCGATCAGGCTGGCACGGGGGAGCAGTTAGGAGCCAGTGGTCCCAGATTGTGAGAGGGATGTCCCAGATTGGAGAGGGTGCAGGCTGGGCTGAGGGACACACCCCCCCTGCCCCCCCCCCCCGCCGTGCATGAATTTTGTGCACCGGGCCACTAGTATATATATATATGGCTAATATGCAAAGTCCCTTCGGGAGTTTGACCAGGAGACTGGGAATTCGATCGCTCACTATGACGTGTGCTGACCACCAGGGGGTGACGTGGAACTAAGGGAGGCCCCAGCCAGCAGCCAGAAGGCCCCGATCGGCCCTGATCGCCGGCCAGGCCTAGGGACCCCACCCGTGCACGAATTTCATGCACCGGGCCTCTAGTCTAAGAATAAAGGAGATGTGAGCAAATTTGGACCAATTCAGGGCAGCGGCGTTCCCACTGAACAGTTGAGCTCTGGAGAGCCGGTAGTGTCTCTTTAAACAGGACTTCCTGAATGTCATCGCTGTCACTTCACTGAGGATTCTGAGAGTGATGAATAAAACATAAACAAATGGGACGAGAGATGGTTCCCGGGGAGGATGCTGCATTGCAGATGGCTCATTACCACGGCGAAGGCGTCCGGGTCTTGCGCTTGGATTTTGCTGGATCAGCTACCCTTTCCCCCACACGGTGGCCTGGAGCGGGTTTGTAACCAATCGGGGGTGACTTGGCTGTGCGTGAACCAAATGAACACTCCTGCGTCTGGGAGAGTGTGGGGGACAGAAAAATAAAATAAATAAACGACGAACGAATTCCTTAGTCAGGGAAAGCTTTTATCTGGTGAAATGCAACAAAACTGGCCGCAGCGCACACGCCTGTTGTCGCTTGTCGGGTTTCGAGAGTTGAGAAGTCAGAGGGAGTCTGTGCTCAGGTTTAAACGTAGAGCAAACCCCAAGGGATGGACGCATAGGCACGTGTGTACCCCACGCGGACTCTTTTATCTCCGATAAAACATCTTCAAGGAAGACTGTTGGAAAGATGAGCTATGTGTCGTGTGCTTAAAAGCAGGTCCTGAGCGATGCCAGTGTGGCTCAATGGTTGAGCCTCGACCTATGAACCAGGAGGTCACGGTTTGATTCCCGTCAAGGGCACAGGCCCGGGTTGGGGGCTCGATCCCCAGTCGGGGGCGTGCAGGAGGCAGCCGATCAGTGATTCTCTCTCATCATGGATGTCTCTCTCTCTCTCTCTCTCCCTCTTCCTTCCTCTCTGAAATCAATAGAAATATATTTAAAAAGCAACCAACAAACAAGAAAATCCAACCTTGACTTCCAGCAAGGCTTGTAGGTGGCGGCCTCAGGAAGAAAAGGCCGGTGAGGGCTGGATGGGCAGCTCCAGGTGATCAGGGTCCCGGACGCTTCCGTTTGGTTCACCTGCGGCCCTTCGACACGTGTCGCTCTGACCCCAACGGCTGGCGCAGGCACACCGTGTCTCAGTCCCGCAGGGGGTTCTGCAGCCTCGGGATCTTGGGGTGTGACTCAGGTGCCAAGGAGGCCGTCTTGGTGACAAAGTGTATACCTCGCAGTGACTCACCCCTGCCCAGCTTGCTTCCTGCGTGGCTGACGGTACCCATATCAGGTGTCTGTGGCTGGATTGTATGTCCATTGAGGTCAAAGCTCCGTTCATTTGCTTCATTTGTTTCATCACGGTGTCCAGCATGGTGGCTTTAGAAATGTACCAGGAATATTTTTTTTTGTTTACCAGGGCCAGATATTCCTTTATTTTTCATTATAGACCCACACCTTAGACCTTTTTCTTTAAAATAAATATATATATATTTTTATTGATTTCAGAGAGGAAGGGAGAGAGAGAGAGAGAGAGAGAGAGAGAAACATCAATGATGAGAGAGAATCATGGATCGGCTGCCTCCTGCCCGCCCCACACTGGGGATCGAGCCGGCACCCCGGGCACGTGCCCTGACCGGCAATCGAACCAACCGTGACTTCCTGGTTCATAGGTTGACGCTCAACCGCTGAGCCCGTCGGCCGGGCTTGGATCATCTTTTTAAAAAAACATTAAAAAAATTCATTTTCCCGTTTTCAGGGAGAGCGGAGATACGTTTGATGGCCTTTCCTGGAGATGCGTGCGTGCCTGAGGTAGATACTCAGATTGGGGTGTTAGCAGACAGGGCAGCGTGATGAGAAGGGAGTGAAAATGCCAAAGTGCCCGTGGGCACAGGGAGACAGAAATCGCCGCTGGGTCCATTGGCTCCCGCCACCGTGGGTGATGCCCGTCTACGAAGAGGGGCCGAGGGGGGGGGGGCTTCAGTCCCTACGGGTGCCCTTAACGCCTCAGGAGGACTCGTTGGACATCTGAGCAGCTGTCGGTGCAGTGGGATGGAACGAAGAGCTCAGTTGATCTCTCAGTTCCCCGCATGCTGAGGCAAATGAACGGCGAACCTTTAATCACGGTGGATTTCAACCTTTTTGTGAGGGGAGGGGGGGATGGAGCTGTCAGGAGAATCTGCTTTGCGGGCGAGAGACCACACTGAGATGTCCCAGGACTGTCCCCCCCCCCCCCCCCCCCCTTGTGGGCATTCTGCACTGTGCTTCATTCATAGTGTTCGTCTCACACTGTAACTCGAATACCAAGGAAGCAGACGCGTGTGTGGGGGGAGGGGGGAGGACTTAACCACAGAAGAATCAGGGCTGGAATTTAAATGGGACCTCACTCGCGTGTCCATGCATTTCCCTGCTCCCTGCCAGCTGTCCTTAGAAATATCCTGTAGATGTGCTCACACTCCCGCAGGCAGGCGCTATGGCTGGGGCCGAGCAGGAGATGCTTTAAAAAAAAAAAAAAACGGTGAAGGGGTTGTTGGTGCGAATATCAAATGGCAGGATGTCGCCGTGTCTGGGAGCGAGGGCCGGCTGTGTCCGGCTGACACGCATTTGCCCTTGAGGGAGCGAGGAGGAAGGGCGGGCAGCCGGGCGGCTCCGGAGCGGGGACCTGGGAGGGGAGTCAACTTGTACATCACGGCTCAGGGCCAGGCCCGACCTCTTGCTTCGTCTTGGAGGTTTGCGTCTGTTTCCCAAAGGCGGGGATTTCAGGGTAGAATAGTCATCAGCTCTCCCGGTGTGTCCCTCAGGGTCGAGGTCTCCACCGATGGGTCCATGACGGGTCCATGCTTCACCGCAGCTG